ACGACTTTTAACTGAATTTTTTTCAGCCGTTTACAAGGGACAGGATATGATTTTTCTGTTTATGAGTGAAACCATCTGGAACTCGGGTACTGGCGCCGGTCCTACACCGGACGATCGCCGAATGGCTGATAAAATGGGCGAGAAATGGACCCAGTTCGCTAAGGAAGGGTGAGTTGCAATAGATCGGTAAGGTAATACCTACTACATAATCATTGCTCATATTCTGAAGTGAACATTCGCGTTGATAGATTACGCGAAGGGAGAGATGGGAGTAGGAAAAAGCTTTTAGGGGGACTTTCTATGCTCATGAAACGATACGGTTGTGGTAGCAGGAAAACCGTGGACACACCGTATGAAACTAATGTCTAGCGACCGTTCCACCAACGAGAAACCTAAATGCGCGTTATCGGCTGCTATACAGTAATCCAAACTTGTTTCTGTGGAGTACATAATTATTAACAAAGCCTGGACCAAGCGCCAAATGATAATCAAGTCCTACGGATTACTGTGTGGGTGGATACCCAGACCAGATTAAGGTTGACACGGTGCGACATCATCCTACACGTGCAGCGTACGCACGCGTCTTGGGCGGTTTTTTGTCGTAACCTACCCATTTTTAATATTTTTTTGTCAACCAGCTTTATGGTGATTCCGTGGGGACATAATTTGGGGTACGACATATAGGCAATGAATTATAAAACTGTTTTCTGAACCTGTTCACACTCTCGCTTTTTTGCCTCATCGTTAGGACGAAGCAATGAAGGATTTGGAGGTAGGTGCCGCTCTCACAAAGTAAAGATACCTACATCTGCAGACTGCATCGATAATTATTTTGCCGGAAACAAACAAACGCCTCGCGATTTGAAAGGAAGCCGAATGCATAGACACACCCTACTCAAAGTGATGGGTGTCGATTTTTTTTCTCCGTATTTTTAACTAAAGCATTTTGTTGCCAAACACAGATAAATAATATATTTGTAATGTACTATAATTGCAGGCAAGTATCGAGTTGGCAGCCGTCCAACTCCCAAGACTACACCTATTGTAATTTGAACCGACAACCTACTGTACAAAGTGGATATGCTCAACAAGCAAGAAATGTTTTCAATAATCAAGTGGATCCGATCATACAACAGGTACGTTTGTATGAAAGATTGCCCCGCGACCGCTGTAAGTGAGTAGGGCTTGACTAATTTATAAGGTCTTACCTTAAAAATTAGAAAAAATAATTCCAAATTGAATAGCAAGGGATATATTGGGGAAGTTGCTACTCGGATCTCACGAAGTTTCCAAATTACATGATAAGGCTGTGGTACGGCTTGTAGTGTGCTCACGACTTTGTTCATAGACCCTTCATGCTTGCTCTGAAGGTACAATTAGCGCTAATTTTGGGGTCACTTTTTGATTCGAAAGAGGGGTGTTAGCGCGAAACAACGCATCAAGTATGGCTCTCCTGAAAAACAGACAATACAGGGAGTTATGCGACGGAAGGTGCGCTTGGACGAGATTTCTGTCATGTACAACAGTGTAGGGAGCTTACTATAGTTTCTTCTACAAAAATTGCTTTTCACAACCGCCGTGGATCAGGTGCCTTGGACGATCGGCTGTTTAAAAATTTCAATAATATGTTCTACATTGTATGGTGCAGCGGTGCAGCCTCTGCAAGGCCATCAAAACACGGCCACTTTGGGGTGTGGTCTCCAACGTAGCACGACTTTGTGCCCCTGCTGCGCCTTGTATAGGCTATTTTCCGACCCCACAACGTCCAGAATGGCATGTTTGAGGACCACAGATCGTCCTAGCATAGAATCCAGAAAACCCCTTTTGTCGTGAACTGTGCCTCATTTCACGTCCGCATACGACTGCGACTGATTCATTACCACGCGGCAGTTGGGACCTCTTCATGAAGGATTAAACAACACAAACGAATATCTTTAGCTATTTTGACATAGTTTTCGAACAAAACCGTATCATTTTCAGGCGCATAACACACCTCAGCGCGATCCTCAACCCACGCCAACACCACAGCCGGTCTACTCGCCAACATCTTTCACTCCTGCGGTCAATGTCAAATATCAATCAAATGGACCGCAATCGAACACCTTCCAGTTTACATACCAATTAAAAAACGTTCCTGGAAAATAATTTTATGTTTGTATAAATTTTTATCAAGAGGTTTGCCATTTATTGTATGAAGTTGCAAACTTGGACTTGTTATACCTTCAGCGTACAGCGTCTTAATGCAGTGAGATGCATAAACCCATTGACGACTGCGTAGCCCGCCGGTGGGCCACACCATATCGTGCTCCTGTAGTATTTATATTATTTGTCAAGTGTTCTTATAATTTTTTCATGTTTTCAAGTATCAGCTGAGCTCACAGCCTTTTAGAGAATCTTGAGGAATCGTGGTCCAGGAATCATTCATTTCCAACTACAGTTATAAGAGAAATTAAAAGTTAATGTAAGGACAGTATAAAGGGCGCGGTCGCCAATGGGTTAAAAGCCTGTTGTCGCTTTCAACAAAGGGGTTGTTATATTATAAATTGCGATGCCTCAGTATGCTTTCATGTGAGAATAGCTCAAACAACATTTTTCCGATTAGGTATTTTTGTATCAGGAAGTAAAGCTCAACTTAATGTTCGTCTTCACTTTCTTCATTGACTCACATGTTAGAAAATGGGTATTGATTTTACGCGCGTAGTGGCAATCCGAGCTGCAGCAGTTGAATACTTAAATTGATAAGATTGAGAACTTATGATAAGATAGCTTACTCACTTCCTGATACTGACAAAAATGGTTGAAACCATTTTTTTTTATCGAATATCAACGAAGATGATCAACTTATGTTCTGCGGTCGATGGAATATGGTTTGCTGCAACGCAAACTGCTGCAAAACGGACACCCCGGCCAAGTGCTATTTGAGCGCAATCTTTATCAGCTGGTAGAAGGGTTATTCAATGTATTTTTCAACTTGTTGCCTATTTACACCGCCTACATACCAGAAAACAGATTGCGTCGAAAATATTTCCAAGGGTAGTGAGTCTAAGGATTAATCTGTTCAAAATGGGTTGAAGGTTATCTGATAGGAATGGATTTCATCTATTTTCGCAAGGAAGTAATCAATAATGTTCGTTTTGAAAAGGCTCCAATTCGATCGAATGAACTTTGCTCTGTTTAGTGATTGTAGATCATTTAAAGATCCCCAAGCGATCCTTGGAAGTTCAAAATGTTGCGTTTCAGATACGGTAGCCTGATTTCAATTCATGAATAGGAAATACGATCATATTTATATCGCATTCAGCTCTCAGTGGCTAAGGTTTTACCGGCTAGCTTGCTTAGTTGAAGTACACACCCCCTTTGACGAGTTTTCGCGATCTACCGCGCAATTTTGATCGTTGGCAGCATTGCCCACTTTGAACAGCCGAGATCAGCGGTGCCGTTTACGTTCACGATGGACGCTCGAAGTAGGTTTTGTATTGATTATCGATTCATGACTTATTGATTATGTCATTGATTGCCGATTTAGGCGCTGTCCTTTTTTCTCGGTAACTTGCAATATCCTTTGACTTCTTTGTTATTTCATAGTTAACTCTTTAGAAGTGTTTCGCTTTGCAACATTGTTTTTTTTTGTTTTCGCCATAATTCTTTGTAAACAACAAGATGTACCGAGTGGGATTTCCTTGATATATTTACGTACGGTCATCTCCCAGTTCTGATGCAAAAATTGGAGTCTAAGCTGTTAGGTATGGAGCGCGCTGTTGCGTTGCTTCCACTTGTTTGTTTGTTTGTTTTGCGGAGACATTTCTTTCGGTAATGGTACCAACTAGGTACTCACCATCGTCGATATTACCGAAACTCTGTGGTGTACAAGTTCTTTAGCTCTTCTAATGTGGTCGGCAGATCGGCACGTGGTTACTGGCGGCCCAGACGGCTACACTCTCGTAGGGAACTACACCCATATTTTTCTTTGCTTTTCCTCAGAACCATTCTACTCTACTTTTCCCGGGCGCCCTCTGGAAGAGCTTATTCTAAGGCATGTGCCGTCTGCTTTCGAAAACAGATTTCGTAATCCGAATTTTCTCTCTCTTTTTCATCCTCGTTCTTTTTGTAGCGGCAGCTTCCTTCACATTTACCTCGGCTTATTCAAGAGTTATAATTTTGTGTTATCAAGTTATAAGATGTGCATTCCGAATAGGAACAAAAATCCAGTACGGAACAGTGGTTCTTGGGGGGACGGTACGAACGTGCGTCCGAGGGTGCGCGCGGCAAAGTTCGTGACGATTTGTACGACTGCTGCGCCAATTTTCGGGGCACAAACTCGAAGTAGTGTAGTTTAGTAGGGTCGGATGATCCTCCCAATCCACTTTATTTGAAATTTGAGCCCCAATGACAGGCGCCAAACTCGTTCAAACCATTACGAACTTCGCCGCGCAATTTGCCGCGCGAATCCTCGGACGCACGTTCGTACACATACCCGGTTCTTGTAATAGGCATACGGTGCAATAAGTAAATGGACGCAGAATTTTACGGACAATTTATTTCATTCCACGGCATCCCCTTACTCGAATATAGAAATCCCTATCCCGCCACCTAAAGTGCGACGCATAGAAGAAAGAACGAGCAGGCGAGGTGATTGGTCGGAGAAGTCACCTGAGGTGCTTAAGACGAGATCCACAGCTGGATTACTATATGAATTGGGTTCCCGTGATAGATTATCATCTTTACGTGGCTTCGTCGTCGCTGCTGCACACAATGATCACTTTCTACCCAAGTACGCATGTCTGGCTGAAAGTTTTTGTTCCCAAAAGACGTACACCTTACAGCCTCGTTACGGGTGGGAACCGTTTTGTCATTCTGTTTTGTTACTCGATGCCGTCGTTTTGTTTTGTTAGTCGATGCTTCTGCACTCCATCAATAAAAAAACGACTTCTGCTATCTCACTTCCGATTTTTCTTAGCTATCAAAGGGCTTATTCCCGTCCCTACCTTGCTTTCAACGTTTATTTGCCGTTCCTTATAATCTCCCGTTCGACATCATTTACTCGGAACCACACGCACTCTTTAGTCTTCTGCATGTTATTCTCTAATTAGGTTTTCTTGAATCAGTTTCCTGAGATAGATTTATTACCGTATTCTCACTTAGTTCCCATCACTTCTTCCTGTAATTTACTGTCTCTCATAAAGTGTCGCAAAGTAACTTCGCCTTCTTCAACTATTTTCCGAATGAATTGTTCGGTTCTGCTTTGGAGAGTTGGGTTGAATACGATAACTAAGGAATTCTCGCAGGGTGGCGAGAAGACGTTTGGCTGAAAGTTTTTGTTCCCAAAAGACGTANAGAGCAGTTCAGAACGCCGAGTTCGCTGGGTTTCTCTCGTCAACAACCACAATCAATAACCTCAAATGAGGTTCTCATTTGAGAGATTTTTACAGAGTCGTTCGGGTTTTTCTTCACTAACTAAATCCCTGGCACCACCAGTTATGTAATTTCCTGCACGTCGGATTTTCTCTACTACTATTTAGTTTAGGTCTAGTCGGTTATAAGGTCCCTGTAATACATTGTTGCAATTGGTAAATAATAAAATAATTAAAATTTATAGTCTACTGCTCAAAACTCTGAGGCAGTATTCTTCTTTAGTTTCGTGACTAACCAATTTCTTCGAACTGGCTACATCAATGACTCCATTCCTCTGTCGCTTCTTGTCCCGTCCTCCTTGAGAGACTCGGTTCATATCATTAATTTGTTGAGTTTTCGTCAAGACATCTGACCATTGCCCTCTTCCAAGGTTCTTTTGACTTGACAATGAGGGAGACATCGAGCGAGTGCTCCTAAGTATACTTTTCTTCTGCATCTTCTAGGTCTTCTTCGTACAAAGAGGGAGCTGTTAATCTTATTCCAGCATTATCTGCTTATACCTATGCAATATTTCAAGTTTTATTTTTTCTGGGGAAGTATTCCATGGTTTTGATGAAACTTATGTCAAATTTTTGTAGAAGAACCCAAACCTAGCCCACTGAATGAGATCGAACGTCTACAAGCTCTATTGCGAGCCAAGGATGATCATTTAGACAAACTAAAGGTTAGTATCACAAGAGTACCATTTTTATTGTTGCTTTAGTTATCAGTGGAGTAGATTATGGGCAGTTAAAATAAAACTTGATATGTCCATTTATTAGCGGCAGAGGTCAAGCTAAGATGCTTCTTGGATTACTCTGTTCTCTTTCACATATTTAAAGGCACAGTTCACGATACTTTTGGGTAATCCAGATTATGACGAAAAATGGAAGACGAGATGGAAAGTAGTGCGATGAAGGCGAAGAAACTGCGTGAATCGGTGTTTCCAAAGTGAAAAAAAGCTTCGAAAAGTCGTTAAAAAGGGGACTGGACGAGAAGGGGACCAGAAAAATGAAGAAGAATAGGGAATAAGAATATAGGAGATTAGGAATAATAGCTGACTACGGTAAGCAAAATTCATCCACTCATAAGCATAAGTTAACAGGAAACGCTAGTAACAGCAGAATTAGCCCACCTTTTTTAGCCTCTTGTGATAGGAAATTAAATAAGGGATCGCAGCAGCGAAAAGAATAACAGAGAATAAAGGAAAAGCAGAAAAACATCGCCGCGTTCCTCGGCGATCAGCTGATTTTGTGTGAGTCCTAGAACGAATTTTGCAATCTGTATCACCTCGACACTTGTCTGACGCGACATCAATTTAGCGGCGGGAAGTCCGGGCGAGCCGATAACGAGGCTCCCATTGGGCCCTAGCTGTTGGGTTTGGGACTCGACAGCGTCCTTCCTGTTACCCTTGAGGAACCACTGGGTAGTTCCAAGGGGAGGAGACAGAAACCACCTTGATCGTGAACTGTGCCTTTAAGCGGTGATTCTTACTAACACGTGAACGAAATTTGTGATTTGAGGAGGCTACCATGCGTGATCCACGGTGCTCCGTATGCCACTACCCTGTAGCCGAGTCACGCCTTCGCCTTTGCGTTACTTGCTCCAGCCATGTCAACGTAGATAGTGACAGTACAGTAACGATCACCAATTTCGAAAAGGTTCATTATTTCTTTATATTCTATAATTCTGCAAGTTTTCACTTTTGATATGTAGCGCATTAACTATACCTTATCCCGCCCATATCTATTAAAAGAATCTTCATAGGTGATTGTATAAAACATTCCGTTTTAAGACACAGTTCACGATAACTTTGTGGTACCCTTTTTCAAGTCAAACGCAAAAATATTGTTTGAGGATGGTGCATCGGTGGCCAAGAATTCGGGAAATTCAGTCCGGGAAAAGAAGGAAGGTGAGAAAGAAGGTTTGCCAAAAAGAAGTTGTACGAGATCACCTTGACGGAAATGCATGGGAAGGGTACTCGGACGAAATTTCAGTTACGCAAAAAGCCGACTACATCATGTCGAAATGGTCGAAAACTGCCTTCCACAGTCGCTATGGGTCTTCACAAGCTGTTCGAATTTCCTATGTACACGGGTTCCCCTTTGAATGATGAAGCCTCTACAACGCTGTCAAAACTCGTCCGCTGTGGGTGTGACATTCAGTCGATACAATCTCTGAGGCCTTAAAACGTCCTACATAGATCGTATCCCCACCTAACAGAATAACATATGGTGAACTAGACAGGGACAGATTTATACCAGGTTTATATCTCAGAAACCACTAGTATCGTGAACTTTGCCTTTAAGGAATTTATCGAAGACTGTAGCAGTGTCCTCTGTGCAAGGATCTTTTTTACAATGGTGCTATTTCAAAACGGCTTTTATTGAATTCAAGTAGACCCTTACCACCATTGTAGGCAGAGAAAACGTTGATGTGTGGTAGCTGCATCATTGAAGAATCTGGCCACTTAACTCACTGGACAACTCCATATTTGCATTTGAAGGTAAGAATACCGAAAACTTAAGTGGTTACTATGCAGGGAAGTCTAGTAGACAGATAATGAGAAGCTCAAAGGAGCAGAGTTGTACAATGGAGATCAAAGACATTAGATATAAAGAATGATGCATGTGCCGCTGCTCTTTGTCTCCGCAATAGTACCATGTAGGTATATCTGTTCAGCGCGTCTGCACGCGCTGAGCAGTTATACCTAAGTCCGGGTAGTTGGTACCTCAGATGTACATGAATATCGTAGTTGACGATGAGGGTAACCGCCCCGTAAATTCGCGCTTATAGGCGACTTATGAGGAGCCCAACTCTGCTTGTTTTCAGACGAAGCAGAGCCTAGCTCAGCTCTCATCCAAGTGTGTGTCCGATTTTGAACAAGAGTTCGATAAACAGGATTGGAGGAACATGTTCAATTCCTCCGCGGACTACGTTTTTTCAATTGAAGAGGTATGGAACGTATTTTGTTTTTTTAGTTGGCACTGATGTTGCGGAAAAGCCTTCTCATGCCAACAGCTAACGTCAAAGTTATCCAAGAGGAACATTAAAATCCACAGAAGATTCTCTTCAGAATGGTGACTAATGTCGAACCTGTTAAGGAGTGCTACGCAGCTCGAAGGGTGTTCCCACAAACTACCACTTGTCGTTTAGAATGGCTACCGCAGCTTGGAGGGTGATCCCCTGAACTATCCTTTGTTTTCTTACAGCGTTTACGGCAGTTAGCGAATCGTAACGGTCAGTTTCGCTCTTGGGCAGAGTTCCAAACTCTCTCGAACAAACTCGAGCTCTTTCTTCGAGTGGCACAACAACATCATCGAGTCATGAAGAAAGCAATTGATGAGTATGGCCGAGAGATGCTGGTTAGTTCCAAAATTCTCTTTCCCACCAAAAATCATTAGGTATAGTGTAGAATTGTTTTCATTTCCTCAGAGAAACATTCAACATTATAGCATCACCAACATCTCTAGGTACGTCTTCCTTCAAAAATAGTGGCGCCTGTGCTCGGCGAACTCGAGGCTTACTGGTTTTACTCTTCAAAATATGAGCTCCTCCTTAGAGTTCTGCAAAGGTGATGGCTCGATGAAGCATTGTCTGCGTTATATGGTTCATGTAGAACCATTGTACTGGATAGTGGCTCCATAGTCTACCCAGTCACAGAAGGAGCCGCGCGCGGACAGACGTCAGGAATGCTGCTTGGTCAATATTGGTCAAGGTATTCGATGCCCATCAAAAGAACACCCAACATTATCATTACCCTGATTCCAGACTAAGTCTCTCTTTGAAAAAAGTGGCCCTGGTGCACGAGGAACTTGTAGAGGTCCTCTCTAGAGTAGTCGTACACGTCGAATTGAAGCTCTCTTTTAAGGTTCACGGGAGAGGTGACGGTCTGATGAAGCGATGGCGACGCTATATGTAGATTTAGGATCATCGTACAGCTTGGTGGTCCAGACCTTGATATATGGAATCGGACTCTACCAGAAAACTGAGGGCATGACTTTACGACCATGAAGCTCACGCCTTGATTTAAGTGGTTAGTACTGGTAGCGAGGCAAAATCAGGATGTCACGTGCTGTTCATGAAGTAAACCCGGGACTGATCTCCACAGATGATCGAATAAAGAGGTCCTACCTATCACTCGCGAGAGGAACCCTTTGTGTACTGTCAAGAATGCTACTTGGTCAGCATAGATCAAGACATAAGACGCTCAACGAGACCACTTTGCGATAGCCAATCCCACTCACCAATCAGATGGTTAGCGGTGTGAAGCATAATCGAAGTAAATGATTTCGATCATTTTGAACCACACTTTTGTAAAGAAATTGTGTAATAATAAAAACTCAAAAAAAAAAACGGGTGAGCATAAAAGCGGGAGAACAATTAACAGTTGTTTTTAGAAGATTCTTCAAACCCTGGACGTTATGATATTTGCTGATACGAACAATGAAAACGTCATGGTCTTCGCACCGGATCAGATACTCAAGGATGTAGCTGCTGCTGGGGGAGGAAATTCAACTGGTGCAGCTTCTTCGAAAATTGCCTTTGGGTCAGATATCAGCGTGAAAGGTAGCTCTGTCTTTCTGTCAACGAGTTTAGTTCAGCAATGAAGACATGCACTGAAGGTTTGCTGAACCACACTAATTTGATTAGTAGAGTCCCAGAAGAGCCTAATAAGACCGAGTCGAGCTTGAGGACGGGTGGTTATCTCCACACTCTAAGCACCCCTTTATTGTTCGAGCAAGTTATTAGGCACCAGTTGCCACTAGTTCATTCCAAAAAGCAGAGTGTAGAGTGATCACTTTCCAGAGAGGGAATTGAACTTCTATTCAGAATAATAGTGGCTCATGTGTAACCTATCTGAACCACTCATGCTCCCGAGGACCGGCCGTTAAATAAGCTGATGCTTTTCGTACCCAGCTGTGGCACCACTTAATCGACTGTGGTAAGTTGGAAGGTCCTGGTTAGGCTTGTGCTCTGACGACATCCAATCTCTTCACTACTAACAATAAGGCTTGACAGTGTGTATCTTGGTACCGTCCCACTTTTATCCATCCATTTCACACGGTGATAAGATTAACGGTAAAAGAAAGGGCAAAAGCGAAACATTTTTTTTGCCGAGTGCCTTGCCAACTGTTCTTTTTAAAAACTGGCCCGATAATTTTCCTAGCTCATAAAGAGTTACAAGGTTTTTCGATTCCATGCGTTTGCTCTCCTATTCGATCATTCCCTATGACCGCTAGAGTTTCATTGGCTCCGGTCGTCTCATTGATCATACAAGGTACCATCGATTTTGGCCCTGTATCGAAACAAATATTCCCACTCACAGTGCGTCAAGATGCAACAAAAACGAGCTTCCGTGTGATTTGACGATTAAAACTTGTTCTGGGATCACTAGTAAGGAATCCAATTCAACTCGATTGATCACGAATAAGTTAACGTATGGTGTATGGATCAGAGGTGGTGTAGTGGCAAGTGTCACACTATCTCACACACATAATGTGGGTTCGGATCCCGTATCGATTCTCGCCTAAGCCCACCAGAACTTCCAATCCTCCGCATTCGGTTACCAGGTACCAAACTTGCTGGGAGAATAAGAGCACTAGCTTTGTAATGACTGGCCCCACAGTCACATGATTCATTCGCACCCAATACGCCACTACTATTCTGGATAGAAGTCGGATGCGGGGCGCATCCTGAAGGATGTACTGATATAAGCCAATAACATACAAAGTGATTGGATTCAAGATGTATCAAAATATTCCAAATTGAAATGGGTGGTATGTTCTAAACTGAACAGAAATATTGATCGTATCCTTTACGCAGAACATGGAGATGTCAAGACATGGAGAGGAATTCGTTGGGTTCCTCAACTCACAGGAAATCCACCGTCAAAAACAACTGCACAGTAAGTTTGTTCGCTACAGCGTTTTTCAACCGATTTCTGTTGTTTATCTTTATCACGACTAAAGCTCATAGATAAAAATGGAATGCTGACAGTTGTTCCATGGTTTGGAGCCATGTAAACCTCCACATCATTCATTACCGGTTCCTCGCTATCTTCCTCAGGCTATTTACTACGCGCCCAGCGATGCGAGTTGCCAGGGTGTGGTGCAGTAGGATCGAGATTGTCGCATCGCAGCGAGAGAGACGCCGCGCGCGAAGGATTGTAGCAGAAGCAAGTAAAAAGCACAGGAACAAAACTACCATTAGAATCATGCCAAAAATAATAATTGCATATCGATTGAGCTGTATGAAGAAGCTAGAACTGTAATAACGAGGCGAATGGTCCGCATAAACACATTGGCGCACAGCGTGATGGCCTCCGATAGGTTAAGAGGAAAGTTTGCAGAGTTTTGGCAATAAGTTGTCGTTCCTCATTTTCCGAAGTGAGCGCTTGAAACTGCCTATGAAGCGTACAGCTAGCCCTATTCGGCAGAGGATGAAAGTGCGGTGACCGGATCTGCTTGATTTCTCTCTATCGACTGCATTGCAGGATCGGCAAAAGTGGGCTGAGTCCGGAGGCAGGAGACGGCACGTAGACGGTCCGTATCGAGCGAAGAGGTGTCGGAGTTCCTCGATGTCGCGGAGGCGGTGGTCGACGTCATTGCGATGATTTCGTCCATTTAGAGAATGCATCTGCTAGCAGGTTCATATTCATGTGGGCAGGCGAAGTGGAGTGGGTTCGGCTCCATTGAGCGCTGCTTCTTGACAGCTGCAGCGGACGCGCACGGTTGTCCCCAAGTCTTTGTAAGTCCCAGTCCAGAACACGTAGTTGTGGAAAATAGAATTCATCCGGTTCATTCCTGGATGTCCTTCATGTGGCACCATCAGAACAGGGACCTTCGAACTGCGGGACAACTATTCGTCTTCAAATAATAGACAGTCTTGACTGTTTCACAGGTCATTGCGCAAGTCCTGCAGTATCCTGCGGCAGCAGATGACAGCTTCTTTGACCAGCTGTTATGAGCGACGTGGTCTATAATCTGGCACAGGCAATCGTCCACAGCAGTAGCGCGGGCAACATTTTGTGCAGTAACCGGTATGAAGTGCCTATTGTCATTGAAGACAGTGTTGACGTCATTGGCCATACTGGCGACGACGACATCATCTTCGGTGGAGACTGCGTAGCGACGAGCCGGGATGAGTGTCGGCTTGTCCAAAACTAGTGGCATTCCGATATACTCCAAGTCGTAGGCGAGCATCGTGAGCCTCCCGCGTCGCAGGCGGTTCGCGAGTAGGCCGAAACTACTTTCTCGGCGAGAAGCGTGCTGTGATATGAAAATGAAGAGGTGTCTATAGATTCATCGATGAAATTCCGGACGGAGAAGACGAATGATAATGCTTTTTCCGCTTTTTGACAACCATTCTTCTCAGCAGAGAATCAGCTTCGAGCATCGGCTTCTACGAGAGGTGCCGCGGCTCTAGTGTTCGTTTCGATGCTTTCTATTACATCAGCACTGAATTGGGAGACTTATTTTTTCACTTTCAGTCTATAAATGCGGTGCTCGACAAAGGTCTTTGCTCCGGACGACCTGTAGTTATCGATAATGGGCAACTTGGTAACATTAAAATGAAGCAGAGGCCTCGAGTAGGAAAATGGCGGAGCTTTTGGAGCACGGTTAGACCAGCGTCTTTTGAAAATTCCTCAAGCACGGTTACAGTAAAGTTCTGTTCAATAGTTGCTTGTAGCAGCCTCTTCTTCTTCTTCATGATTTCGCACAACTGGTCAACGATCTCAATCACACGCATTCATCAGCCAGTCGCTCCTTCTAATCTCGATTTGGAAGAAGTTCCTACGGGGTCCGATGATGAGAGATGAGAGCTGTTCATCTCTGACAAGGTGTCTGGCTCTCGAAAGAGAGAAAACTTTTGCTGTGCTGTTGAGGTTCAGAGGGTATGCTGAATCATTGATTGCTACCGCAAGGCCACGTACGACTACTATCTACAGCGGTTAGCTCCAGGAATTAGACCCATGCGGTCAAAGAAATGTGATCCATTGATTGCTACCGCACATTGATTGCTACCGCAAGGCCACGTACGACTACTATCTACAGCGGTTAGCTCCAGGAATTAGACCCATGCGGTCAATACCGCAAGGCCACGTACGACTACTATCTACAGCGGTTAGCTCCAGGAATTAGACCCATGCGGTCAAAGAAATGTAATCAAAGAAGAGTTTTGCCGTCTTCACGAGAATGTTCGGTCTTACTCACGCAGTCCAGGTTACAGAAGCTTAGCTAAAATCCTGTTCTCCACCCCTTCCACATATTTCCCTGACTTCGCCCCTTCTGACTATGCCCTTTGAAGGCATCTAAAGTCATATTTCTTTAGGCTAACATCACGAGAGCGGTTCGAAGTCTCTGATCAGAACGCAAACATGAATGATGATGTTGTTTTGTGAGTTTTTCATTTTAGTCAATTAATTAGATTTTCATTATCAGAGAAGGATTTGCGAACGATGCTTCATTTAGCTGTGGAATGGTTCCTGCCAAAACCACTAATTCAAATA